ATGTGAAAGAAATTTTATATGCGGGCCGATCCCTTCCGGACCGGAAAGCCAATATATTGGCGCTACCCATGATCGACACTTAGTGTATGGTCAATCCATGATATAAGATACCTTTTTTACCACTTTACTAAGGCGGATATGCCCTCTCAAGTCTCAAATCCCGGCCCTCTAAAGGTTAAGAAAGAGTTTGTGCGGAGCATAGACGTATAATATATAGACTGCGCGTTTCCTACCTTTGCCTTGTTAAGAAAATGTTTTCAACGTTGAGAGAGACAGCTGGTGTTGAATAGTAGCCTCATCTTTGTCTAGCAAAGTAGTGGGGGAAAAAGAAGTCTTCGCTGATTGATAGAATAGTAGTGGAAAAGTGAGTGAGGATAGAAAAATAGTGGGGGTGAAGAAGAGTGAAAGAAATTAAGGGGTGGTAGGTTAGGTGGTATGAAACAGTAGGCCCTGATCCCACCACAGACATTGATAGACAGAGAAAGAGTTACTATTCAAAGTATGTTGTCTCTCTCAACGTTGAAGACATCTTTTCAACCAAACGCGCAGTCTATATATTATACGTCTATGGTTGGACTGCGCTCAACCCTGGCTAGTACGGTGCCGACCTGAGGCTCAATGTTACGGTGCAGACAATATAGTAGCCTCTCTCTCTAACTGCTTTGTGCGCATGCGGTGAACATTCAAGCACGCTTGCGCATTTCTCTTTCTCGCGTTCTTTCTCTCACTTTCTAATGCTTTGTCTCGCTCGCACTCACTTGATAGATGCGCCTGCGCATAATGACGCTCGACCATCTATGCCCATATTTGGACTTCGTGCGTCTCCCTTTCTCGGGCCTCGTGCCTCTCATTGCAAAGATACGCGACTAGCCAGGGTTGACTGCGCTGTTTCTTTCGCCGCGCACGCGCAAAAAACAGCTCGCTCTTGTACAAGTGCGTACTGAGTGCCGGTACCAGTTTCTTGTGATCTCTACGCGTCTTCACNACAAAATCGTATTACTTAGGTAATTTTTCGTTTTTTCTTACCTATATTATATCTTATTACAGAAGGAAATAAAGTTTCAGATTAATTTTCTATTCTACATTTTTATTGCAATATTTCTTACACATCATCTATTAACATACTTCACACAATTCGAGGTTATGCCTTAGAACGTATAAAAAATATGTATATTTCTTTTCTTGTTCTTTATCTNATATAAAAATCTTTTATGTTGCAGTGTAAAGCAGAAAGAAAACGTTAAAAGTTTTGTGTTGCCTCATCTTTTATTTCTGTCTGGATTTTCTTTGCATAGAATAAAGAAACAGTGAAAAGATTACTCTCTTCTCGATAGAGATAAAAAGTGTAAAGTAAGTATGATAATTACCTATAAAATTACATATACAATATCACTTTATTAAAAAATATATACTTATGTATCACTGCCTCAGAAGTAGAGTACAGTGTTACATATATAGTATATTACTTTCTCAAAAACAAGAGTTTTACATGTTATTAGATTGATAGTCTAATAATGATTGTATATGTATGCATGTCTGTACATACTGTTATTATTAGAAATTGTCAATCTGATAAAATATAAAAATCTTGTTTTAAAGAGAAATGACTTAACACTGTTCATCTTTGAAGCACTGATACATATGCATATTTCTTTTCTTATACTTTATCTCATATAAAAATCTTTTTATGTTGCAGTGAAAATCGAAAAGAAAAAGTTAATTGTGCTGCTTCATCTTTTATTCCTGTCCATTTGGATTTTATTACTTTGCGTACAATATAGAAACAGTAGAGAGATTACTCTCTTCTTCACAGATATTAAAAGCGTAAAATAAGTTAGGGTGTACTTCCGAATGACCCCTGCTCCCGATCGATCTGAAATTTTGCACAAAAATAGTGTTCGATGAGACAAACAAAACGACCGTAGTCCCAACTTTGAGAAATAAAAAACAAATTAAAAAAAAATAAAACTTATATCGACTAAAATCGATTCTATATAACATGTATACACATATATAATACATAATAAAAATATTATATATGATAGTTGTACTCACTGAAAAGGATTTTAAAGTAGCGGGTGATGAGAGTAGTGCATGCTTTGCACGAAAAGTTACAAATTCATTTTTTGCAGAAGGCATGATCTACTGTCTATCGTGTGATTCTTTGGAAAATTAGCGTTTTTGATAGTGGAGCCTCCCTGCAAGGTGTCTATCGAGGTGGCGCCACTATCTCTATATATNTACTCTAGCTGCGTTCCAGATTATATATATTCACTGTCAGTACTAAAAATCTATACTTTACGTCACATGTGCTATAGATTTCTAGTACTGGAAGTGAATATTGGAACGCAGCTTTTCTAATGCAAAGTGAAGTTGCATATAAGTTTACAACTTTACAAAGCAAGATTTATTTTCTATCTACCGGATGCAAAACTAAATCTATAAGTATTTCTTTATACATTGCGACTTTCCGCGCTAAGTTTATTCGTCGATTATTTTAAATTAAGTTTAATTAATAAAAATGGCTTTGGCCTTACATAATCCTCTTAATGGGAATTGGAATATTGAAAGACTTGTCCGAGAAGTTTTATCTTCTCGAGAAATGTGTGTTGCGTGGTGTCAGAGTATTGGACTTTTACCATCCAAACGCAAATGTCCTAAAAATGGAAAACATTTAATAAAGATGTCTAATACTTCCCGCTCTTACCGAAGTTATATCACTTGCATTGGAAAGCGATGGCGGTGTCAAAAACATGGCGTAGAGCGAACTATGGCGGAAAAAACATGGTTTGAATTTCACAATTTGACTATGGAAGATGTTCTTCGTATTACTTATTACTTCGCTAAAGGTTTTAAATACGAAGATGTCAAAAATGAAATAAAAAATATTGGCCGTTTAAAAGTGTCTCCAGAGTCTATTGCGGATATATATTCATACTGTAAAAAGGTCTGTATGCTGACTATCGATCGTGTGGCTAACAATGAAAGACCCATTGGTGGACCTGGAAGAATAGTTGAAATTGATGAAATGAAATTTGGTAAAAGAAAATATGAACGTGGCCGAGTTGTAGAAGGTAATTGGATTTTTGGTGCCATTGATATTGCAACTGGTGCTCTGCGTCTTGAAATTTGCCCTCAAAATCGGCGAGATCGAGAAACTCTTATTCCCATTATCAAAAAACATATTAAGGCTGGATCAAAAATATATTCGGATTGCTGAAAAGCTTATGACTGCCTTGGAGAAGAAGGGTATGAACATCTTTCGGTAAATCATTCACTTGAATTTGTTAATGCTGAGACAGGAGCTAATACTCAAGCAATAGAATCACAACAGAGGCCACTAAGACTGAGACTTCAAAGAGGTGGTGTTCGAAGTGAACATTTAGATTATCATCTTTGTGAATATTTGTGGCGGCGTGAAGCAAAAAAAAAATAATTTGGACCTGTTCAGTGAATTAATAAGATCAATTTGCATTATTTATCCTGTTAGCTAAAAGATTTTTTTAAGCACTTATTAAAATATTTAAAATATTGTAAATACAAAAACAGTTAAAAAATAAAAATCACAAAAGAAATATAAAAATGTACAAATTAAAAACCTCAATTTAGTTTTTATATTTTTACCCGGGGGGGTGCGAGGGGAGGGGAAAGCCCCTCCCTTCGCAGGGGGCGTAGCCCTCTTTGTGGAGCGCAGCCCCCCCTGCGCAGCCCCCCCTACGCAGCCCCCCCTACGCAGCCCCACCTTTGCCTACACACTTACAACATAAACATAAGAACTTACTTTTTTTAATTTTTTAAGTTTTTAAAAACTTACCACATATAGAATCGATTTTAGACACATACATAGGTTTGGATTGAACCTCGTTTTATATGGAAAGTAACTACCAACGCAAAGCGAGGTTCAATCCAAACCTATGTATGTGTGTGGGTTAGGTTAGATTTTCGAATGGTGGAGCCCCCCCGTAGGGAGGCGGAACGCACTGTTTCCACGCATACACTTTCTACGAGAAGCGAGGTTTTAAATAAGAAATACATCTAAAATCGATTTTAGTCGATATAGTTTTTATATTTTTTAAAAATATGTTTTTTATTTCTCGAAGTTGGGACTATGCTCGTTTTGTTTGTCCCATCAAACACTATTTTTGTGCAAAATTTCAGATTGATTGGGACAAGAAATTATTCGGAAATACATCTCAAATTTTATATGCCGAATATGTCCATACAATTTTATACACGGAGAATTTCTTTTTTTAAGAGAATGGCTTCAGAGATATTCCATATCAAATTACAAAATAACTCTATTAGTATCATATTAGATACCAAAAAAATTGTATAAAACTATATTTTTACTATATTTTTAAAAACTTTTTGATATATAATCATATATACTTATACACAAATTAAACTTATTATATCTAAAATTATGCAAATTTATATACCGAATATGTCCATACAATTTTATACATGGAAAATTTTTTACTGAGTAGTCCAATGCAATGTATGCAACGTGCCAAATGGTAAATCACGTTAAATAACATCTCTAACGTTTAGAAGACATAATAAAANCATTTGATATATATAATATTGCTACTTGAAATGCAATACAATATTACCGTAATATTTCATTATTATATGTAAATGTAATATGTCAATAATATTATTGTAATATTATATTATAATATCTAATATTACTGATATATTGCAATTTTACTGTGATATTGCAGTAATATTACGTGCTATGTGGGATGTATATATTTCTCTTTTAGATATCATGTACAAGTATGTTATGTATACATTATGTATTATAGATATTATAGATTTTTATTCTATAACAGAGTATCTTTTTAAAAGTAAATCACAGTATTCTTAAAAGTAAAGATATGATAAACTTGAGAATGACAAAAATGAGTACCTTCTCAAAAGTAAATCACAGTATTGTAAGCGCCTGAAAGAGAATTCTGTTTAAATATTTCGACTTTGTCGAATGGCTTGATATGTATTGCCTTGTAGCTAATGCTTTCGTCTGTTTATTATTGTAATTACCTTGAAAAAGGTCGTATCGCGCCATCTTTAGGAACACATGTTATTGTATCGTGCATGATTTTGGGTATACTTGCCGATTACGCAACGAGAGTTGTTAAGAGACCGTTGAGGAGATCGGTCGAAGACTTGACTACGTAACGACTGAGTTTTTTCTTGTGTTGAGAATAATAAATTTATATACGTTNATTATTAAGTGCAACAATGAGTGATATTTAATTGCCCTCAAGTAAACCGCTCCATGATGTGATATATATACATATATAGATAATTTTTACCCACACGCCTACAGTATTTTTAAAAGTAAAAAGACGATAAACTTGAGAATCATAAACATAAATAAAATTTCTTCTTAAAAAGAAATCACAATATTTACTTAAATGTAAAAATATGATAAGCGCACACATAAGTATAAAAATGAGTATTTTAGCAAACAGAAATTTGATGGCTGCGTTCATTTTTTACTGGCAGTATTAAAAATCTATAGATTTCTGTCACGTATACTATAGATTTTTCAGTACTGCCACTAATAACCGAATCATACCAGTGGGCCGATATCATACCAGTTCCCGGCATGCAATAACACGTGGAGGGGATGCGCACAGAGCTACGTATTGTATACTCCCAGCAGAGAGAAACCTGAGAGCGGCCATCCTATAGTAATTTTTTACGACGGTTTCAGCCGCTGGTTTTAGCCGTATTTCCACAAAAGTGGAACTCAAAGGCCGTTCTACATTAAACGCAAGTCACAGGTCTCGTGGAACTGATCAATCACGTTGGTCGATTGGCTGATTTGACTCTGCAATTGGTCAATTCCACGAGATCTGCTACTTGCGTTTAATGTAGAACGGCCTTTGAGTTCCACTTTTGTGGAAATACGGCTAAAACCAGCGGCTGAAACTGTCGTAAAAAATTACATTAGGATGGCCGCTCTCAGGTTTCTCTCTGATATTAGCTGACCGCAAGATCCGCCGAGTCATACGCCGCGCTCGCTTGTTTACTCCGCCTCTCGCATATATATAATACTCCTATATTGCTAGTACGGTGCCGACCTGAAGCCCAAATGTTACGGTGCAGACAATATAGTAGCCTCTCTCTCGCGCAAGGTCCAGCTGCTTTGTGCGCATGTGGTGAACATTCAAGCACGCTTGCGCATTTCTCTTTCTCGCGTTCTTTCTCTCACTTTCCAATGCTTTGTCTCGCTCGCACTTGCTTAGAAGACGCGCCTGCGCATAATGACGCTCGACTATCTATGTCCATATTTGGACTTCGTGCGTCTCTCTTTCTCGGGCCTCGTGCCTCTCATTGCGAAGATACGCGACTAGCAATATAGGAGTATTATATATATGGCCTCTCGTTGCTAAGACATCGCATGATGTAATAAAAAAGATGGCTTACATTATGCAATGTCTTAGGGCGATGTCCCATTGAGCGGAAATATATAGCGGAACGGAATGTGCGGAACCAGCTCTACCAATCATAGCTATTCCGTTTTCTTTCCTTCGCTTTTTCTGTGGTTACGATTGGTCGAGCTGGTTCCGCATATTCCGTTCCGCTATAGATTTCCGCTCAATGGGACATCGCCCTTAGCAACGAGAGACGGAGTAAACAAGCGAGCCAGCCAGAGTTTGCAACTCTGCTACAGAAGAGGACTATCGCTTTCCACGCGCTCATTGGTTCATATTTATTAAAGTACATCTCATTAATTATTGCGAATTTTGCAAAATGGCAAATAACTTTTCTATTCAGTTTCACTCAATCTATCTCCATACTTCGACTGTGTCAAAAAATTTCAAACACCTTGTATATACATACTTTTCTATTCAGGTTGACTCAATCTATTTTCATACTTCGGCTGTGTCAAAATTTTTCAGACACTGTATATATTGTAAGATATCGGCAGAGCGGCGGCGCCACTAGAGATTTTAAGATTGGCATGCCTGCGCTTAGGTAACGGCGGCGCTACTTTCCGGGCGACGGCGATCGACGCGACGATCTCATATAACGAGCGTAGAAGAACCACGTAGTTGCCGGAAGGCACGTGGTAATAAAGAAGAATCGGGAAAAGTCCAGAATTTTCTCTACCGGAGAATTACCGCCGGTTATTCTCACGTATCGTTACTCTTAAACGATAAGGCAAACCGGTCGGACGTGGGAATAAGAGTCGTGTTATTGTCGTGCCGCTGTCGTATCGAACGTTTTTCGAAGATTTTGCCGTGAAGCCGATTTATTGCCGGATGCTTATTAAAGTGCGTTTTTCTAAATGTATATCGGTGGTTTAGTAATAAACTTTCTTTGTTAATAATATTGAAGACTAGTTTGTTTTGATCCAAGATTCAAACATTCAAACAGCTGATGCGTATGGAAAACATCAAGCATCGGCGTGAGATACGCGTGATCACAAGAAGGTCGAGATTCATTGCCGAACTCTACGTTGAATTGAAACCTATTGGTGTGTTTCACAGAAAACTTTATTGAAAATCTTACAATATATACAGGGCTAAGGTAACGCTTTTCACAAAACGCTCAGTAAATACTGATAAATTTTCGTACAAAGAGTTTGCTGGCAGACTTTTCAAACGGTTAGTAAATGTTTTTATGAGTAAGCAATAAAAAATATTAAAAATTACACATAAAAAATCGATTAATTTATTATAACTTAGTTTATTGTAAGAATAAGAAGACTATTTATATATATTACATATATTTAATATATTAAATTATTTAAGTATCTTGAGATTAATTTTATCTGATAGCTTTATGTAATTTAATATATATTATATTTCATATGTTATATTATTTCATATAATTACTAATTAGTATATATTTTTAAATTTAAAAATATATATCAGTCAGTAATTGCGTAGTGTCACTTTTGCAAAAAAATGTAATCTAGACCTCAATTCTTAAATTTATACAACAAAAAATTGTTGTATAAATTTAAGAATTGAGGTCCAGATTAACAATTATTTAACACTTTCAAACACTTACAAGTCCATACACAGAGAGAACGGTTTTTTTAAATTTAATAATCCGATTGGTTTGACTCATATTTGTTGCATTCAAACAACATAATTTTATATCAAACAACAATTTTGTTGAATGAAACTTTGTATTGTTACGTTATAATAAGAGTCATATTATTTGACAGAAATAATATAAATGTTTGAAATAATTTATTTCAACAAAATAATATTTTATTTAGTTTCATTAAGAATTATATAAAGAAAAAAAACCATTTTTTAACATAAATGTATCATAAAATATATTTGATTTAATTATAGTATTGTTTGAGACCAAAAATGTGGTCGCGTTGTAAAAATGTACTTTAAATCATATTTAATAATAATAAGAGAAATATTTTTATCCATTGCAAGCACATTGCACTGCAATATTTTTAATAAAATAATACTTTAAAGAAATAATAAATGAACTGTATAGGATAGCTTGAGAATAAGTACATAAAAATAATTACATTTTAGTAAGGAACAAGTAATCTCGCAGATTGATTATGAGTGCAGGTTCTGCGAATATGGAGGTTTTCGAGTTCAAATCCCGCTGTTATCTTAGGATTTTTTTCAGGTTCGGTTTCTTTCAATGAAATTTACCGGTTGATCGGCGAGCTGAATCAAGCTTCCAAAGATTAATTCAAGTGAAATCTCGTAGCTGCGTGAAGACGCAAGCCGCGTAAAATTCTTTTATTGAATTTTTAGATTTATTTAACTTAACAAACTATTTTGTTTTGTCTCACGTTTGACGAAAACACTATGCAAACTTTCAGAAACGCATTATACAAACGTCTTTCAAACGCTGTAGTGTTGTAATTTCCTTATGAACTTTTATGAACTTTTTACTGACTCTTCCAAAATTTTTAACGAATTTCGACAAAACGCTCATACACAAAGAGAAAGGTTTCTTTAGATTTAAAAATTTTGTTAAATCCAAACAAGTTATTTTATTGGAATAGTCTAAACAACCTTATTTTTGAACTAAACATTCCGATTGTTTGACTTTCAAACAAAGTATTTTGGTAAATAAATCTGAAACTTTAATTAAAAAATTTTTCGCGGCTAGTGGCCTCACACAGCTTCGAGATTTCACTCGAATTAATCTTTGTAGGTCCGATTCAGCTTGCCAATCAACTGATGAATTCCATTAAAAGAGACCGGACCTGAAAGAATTCTAAGGTGATAGCGGGATTTGAAATGCGATTATTTTTATCTACTTATTTTTTATTATATATATATATACACATTTCATTTATTATTTCTTTAAATTATTATTTTATTAAAAATATTGCAGTGCAATATATCTGCAACAATGGATAAAAATATATATTTCTCTCTTATTATTAATTATTTATTATTCTTATATTGTAATTTAAAGAACATTTTTACAACGCGAAATTTTTTATCTCAAACAATGCTATATTTAAATCAAACATATTTTATGTTACATTTATGTTAAAAAATGTTTTTTTCTTTATATAATGCTTAATAAAACTAAATAAAATATTATTGTGTAGAAATAAATTATTTTAACCTTTTCGCTCTGGGGATTTTTCCTTTAAAATTGACCTCGCATTTTAGCTGAAAAAGTTAATAATAACCTGCTACCCTCCCCCCCTTCAAAGTTAATTTTGAAGGTCAAAGAAGTAACCAGGATTTCTTTCAATTTTTTCCTAAATTTAGTGCATTAAATTGACCTTATAAACATCTATTACGTTCGCTTTTCTTGCTGGTCCATATATGGACCAGTCCCGAAGCGAAAAGGTTAAACATTTGTATTGTTTCCGTCAAATAATATGATTTCTTTTAATATAACAATACAATTTTCATTCAACAAGATTGTTGTTTGGCATCAAATTATATTGTTTGAATGCAACAAATATGAGTTAAATAAATCGGATAATTAAATTTAAAGAAGCTTTTCTGTCTGTGTAAATATTGGTTTTGAGAACGATTTCTCTCAAATCTGGTTTTTCTGGCTACTTTTGGCCAGATAACATTGATCCATTGATAACCTTTGTATCAAAGGTTTTCGAGTTTCTTACACATGCTGCAGCAAGCAGAGTTGCAAAATCGAGCCGGGAGCAACGAGAGCATCGAAGCGGTGAGGGCACGCACACAAGCGAAAACTGCCGTCCGTGTGCGCTTGGCTGTTTGGCTCGTGAAAGAATGCAGACATACTATGGCTGCTTTCCTTTTAGGAGACACAGGTGACACAAGTCGACACAAGAGTTATTCTGTCTTTGTTTCTCACTGAATACTGAACNAAGACAGAATGACTTTTGTGTCGACTTGTGTCGACTGTGTCTCCTAAAAGGAAAGCAACCTATGTTTCATCTCTTTCCTACCAAACCGGCCACAAGGCGAGGCACGTTACCGACGTTGCGCGCTGTTCTTGCGTATGACAATGAGTGCGTTCAGACAACTCAACAGTTGCACAACGGTTGAGAGATAATCACTTCTGATTGGATCATACTTTTGGAACCGCAGCAGATTTTGAAGAATAATTCTATCATAAGTGATGATCTCTCAACCGTTGAGTTGTCTGAACGCACTCAATATCTCGTAACACTTTTTCGAGACTTATTTTTGTAAAAAATACATAAAATCATTGAGAATAGGGTAATTATGCAGTTTAGCAACTTTTCTCAATTTTGGCTATTTTAACTCGGTTTTTTTTTAAAGAACGCTTTATTTTGTCAGTCTAATGAGGAATCAGTCGCGGGAGCTCAGAAAAATTATGTACCTCCCCTTTTTTTTTAAAAAAAAAGTGAAACTCGGAAAATCTTCTTAATTATATGTAACGAGTCTCCCGATCTCAATGATTTTTTAATATGTTGTAGAAGACAAAATTTGAAAGAAGTTTTAGAATTGAATTCTTGTTTTTCACTATTGTGTCGATTTCGGAAGTAAATATTTTGGTTGTATCACATATTATCGCACACGTATAGACGGCGAGAGGGTGGGGCGAAACTTCTCCTTCACCTATTCGCCTATTCGCGTGCACTAATGGAATTGGACGGAATTTGCCAATTACCGTCGTAAGCGCATAGGCAGGGGGGCTGCGCCCCTCTGCACCCTCCCTACAAAACCTAACCTAACCCTAACCTAAACTCTTAGGTACAACGCGAACATTAATAAAAAATAATTTTGTGCAACAATTGATCTGAACTTGTGTTTGTTTCAGATTTTTCGAGTTTTACGTTTTTTTAAAAGAAGAAGAAAGTACATAATTTTTGCAAGCTCCCCCGATTGATTCCTCATTAGACTGACAAAATAAAGCGTTTTTTAAAAAAAACCGAGTTAAATTAGCCAAAATTGAGAAAAGTTGCTAAACTGCATAATTACCTGTCATACGCAAGAACAGTGCGCAACGTCGGTAACGTGCTTCGCCTTGTGGCCGGCTTGGTGGGAAAGAAACGAAACATAGTATGTCTGTACTCTTCCACGAGTCGAACAGCCGAGCGCACACGGACGGCAGTTCTCGCTTGTGTGTGTGCCTCCACCGCTTCGATGCTCTCGTTGCTCCCGGCTCGATCTTGCAACTCTGGCAGTAAGTGGAAGGGGATACGCACACAAGCGAACAGCTGTATACGTGTACGCTCACGCTTTGGCCGTTACGGGCGGTAAAAAAGAACAGAAATATATCTGCTGTTTCTTTCTATTGATATAGTATTCTATTGCAATAGCTATAGTGTACGCAGAGAGAAACCTGAGAGCGGCCATGCCATTGTAGTTTCTTACGACGGTTTCAACCGCTGGTTTTAGCCGTATTTCCACAAAAGTGGAACTCAAAGGCCGTTCTCCATGAAACTCAAGTCGCAGGTCTCGTGGA